CTCCCCTCCCCGCGGCTCCTCGGCTTCTGCTGCGGGGAGACAGGCCCTGCCTGGGCCGGGAAGAGCAAATTTGGGTGGCTAAAAAAAAAGCTGGGTGAGCGGAGGTGGGGCGAAGCGAGCGTTTTGGTCAGCAGCGCTTTCCTCATTGTGGTGGTGGTTTTTTTTTCTTTCTCTCCAGTGGCTGGTTAAGCTTTTGAATGAGGAAACCCGCCCTGGTGTGCTGAGGGTTCGGCCTTCTCATCCTCCCAGCGGCCATGCTAAGAGCTCGTCCCGACAAACCCCAGCAGAGCACCGTTTAAATTCACCCTCTTTCGGGGAAACCGGAGGGTTTGGGAATATTTCCTAAGGAAGCGAAGCAGCCCGGTCAGGCCGCTTTCCGCCTTTCTGTTGCCAGTCTCCTTAAAAACTGGCCTTGGAAGTTTTCCTCTCAGTTAACAAAACGGGCACAAATTTCTGCCTCCGACGTGGCTGCACGCGCACAGAGCTTTTTCCATGATGATAACCTCGCCTCACACCCATATCCCTGTTCCAGCGCAGCACCTTGACTTAAAAAGTCTAGGGAGACGCAGAGGAATCGAAGCTTTATTTGATCTGAAATACCTGACGCGCGAAAGAAAATCAGCAGTTAGGGAAAGGAAGGAAAAATGCGGTTCTGCTCCAGTTCTCCTGCAGAAAGGACGAAGGGGTGAAAACGTTGCCTTTCTGCTCATGTTTTTGCACACACACACACGCGTCACCCACGTGGTAGGGAACGTTATGAGTCCCCATGTGTGTGTGACTCAGGTGGTGTTTCACCCTGATGGCCTGGGTTCTTATATCATGCAGACTCAGGAGTTTATCCATGTACTTGCATTCTTGGCAAGGTGGCAAATGCCGCACAGAAATGTTTATTAGGTTGAATAAGTACAGCAAGTCTGAACAGAGCCAAAAAGCTGTCTCACTAACATCACCCCTAGACCTTAGGCTGGCCCAGTGTTGAATAGTTCAGGAGCGTGATAATAGCGACCCTGAACTGCTGGGAGGAATGGCAATCAACTAGATTTGTAGGCTTGGTTTAGGGTAAGTCTTTAATAAGGATGATCAGTACTTGAGTTCCCATCTTAAAAGAAACTGCAAAAGCTGGCCAGCAGTTTTTGAGCAGGAAGACAAGCACGCTCAGGTGTAGGCTGGTGCGACCTGAATTCCCATTTGGGACCGGTGGGGTGTCTGCCTCTTAGCAACAGGATACTTGGATGAGCAGGAAAGTTGGAATGAAAACTGTGGTCCAGCTGCCATCTGGAAAAAGCCATTTACAGGTCAATAGCTAATCAGTCTGCTTTTGGCAAACCATGTAGGCCTAGAGATCGCTGCTTCGCTGTGAGGCAGTTATTCCTCTAACTTTCTCTTACGAGGAGAGGGTTATTAATGTACTCAAAACCACGCAGTGCCAAAGTGTTGTCCCTGGGGATGCAGGCGGCCTTAACTTCTCTATGGCCACCAATGGCATGTTTGTGTCCATCACCTCCTCCATTTGACCTTCAGCGACATATCAACTGGAGCAGAAGCAAAATAAAAATGTCCTCTTCCATTAATTCCCTACTTTTTGGTCGATGCTGTATTCTTGGAAACCAGCTCGTATATTTTTTAACGTTTGCAAGGGCGATTACAGAACAATCATGCTGCAAGTTTTATGTATAATTGTTGCTTTAGCACCCAAAAAGTTTGGTGCTTATTGTGCTAGGGGCTGTACCTACCCAGAAAAAACACACAGTCCTTGCCTCCAAGAGGTTTAAGTTTAAAATAAGCCAGCCAGACAAATGAGAGAGAGCAAATATTTCTACTGAAGGAAGGCAGTGGGGAGTTAATTATGTGTTGGAGGCACCAGGCCTACGGAAGGTGTATCGCTTTCCATTTAGGGTTAAAGCTTTCACCTGGCCTTAAGGAAGCAGGGCTATCTGAAAGGGACTCTGGGATTAAGACTGTGTTTTTTTTTTCCCCCTAGCCCTGTCAGTGTGAAAACGAACAGGCAGTTCCTTCTGACTCCGTGGAAGGTTACCTTGTTCCTGATGAGGTTAGTCATGAAAGTAAGTATGGCTGATGGAAAGAGCGGCTCTAGGAGCTGAGCCAGCCTTGCTGCCGTCCCTTTGTTTTGTGCAAGTCCTTTGACGCCTAGAAAAAGGTGGCCTGGTTAGCCTTTAACTTAGTGGTGCCATTAATAAGTTCTTCCCTGTCTGCTTTCACAAAATTGTAGGAACTTGGTATTTTGGCTGTTGCGACGCCTCTTCCCAAGCTGGTTACAACTGGCCAAAACCTGTGAGAGGGAAAGGGTCAACTATGTAAACACGCACGCATGCATGTTTGCCATCTGTGTGTTATATGGCTGTATATGCTTCGTTGTATGGAAAATAAGGCTAAAAACGAATGACTTTTGTATATATTGTTGGGTTTTCTCCTCACTACAGAGAGCAAATAACTTCTAAAAAGTACTGTTTTCTTGAAGGGATAAGCTGATTTGTTAGTTCTTTTTTTTTCTGGCACTCTTAAAAGCAGAAGGTTAGAGATTGGGAATAAAAAAAAAACTAGATTAAGAGCTGGAGGGTCATCTCTTCCAGACACCTGTTCTTATTTCGTAATGAAACCTGAAGATTTTAGCTCTAGATCAGCCTCTGCCTGAAGAAGGGTTTCAAAGCATAATGTTTTGCCCAAATTGGAGCCATGAGGTTGACACCTGAACACGATTCTTGGTTATAATGCTCATTCATTTTTTATATATATATATATATATATTCAGTTTTTCTTCATCTGAGGTTATTGGTACTACTTAAGGGTAGGTAGAGGAAATTAACTGGCCTGCATAAAGTGCTAATTAAATTGCTTAACGTTCTCCCTGTAAAAAGATTTACTTCTGAAAACTATGTTGCACGTTGTTGACAGTGTGGCAGAAATACTGCTTGAGGTGACGGGTAATTCTCTCACTAACAGAGAAACCTTGAATGAGGCATTTCAAACTTTTGTCCAATAAACTGTTCCACTCCATTATGTTTATGTGAAATTCAGAGATAGGTGTAAATAGTTGCTATAAGAAGCTTTTTGACTGATAGGCTCTTAAACATTCCCTTGAAGTAACACATCTTTTACTTTTCCA